TTTACTTTTACTCAAGTATGGCTTTTGGGTACTTTATACACCACTGGTCAGTGAACACCTCATACCCTGGTAAAGGCAGGATAGGTGAACATGCCTGAGCTTTTGAGATTCATTTCTTGCTTCCTGTTTGTGTGAAAGGCAAAAAAAAAACGATATTCTGCTCATTTCCTTCCTGCTGCTCTTCCATCCTCCTTTCCCTATTTTCATTTCCTTTGCATCAGGGTACCTCCTCTCTCACTTTTTATATTCTTTTATCACTTTTGCTTCACCCATCTCGCTGAACAAGCACTGACGTGGAGTCCGAGATTGAACCCTCGAATATCAGACCATCACTTGACCGGACACATTTCCATCACATGCTGGCAATTTTAGCCTCATTTTACTTGCAAAGGGGGCGATTTTTATGATAGCACCGATTCTAGACAGGGTTATATGTGGAGGAATGTCAATGTTTTTCCATTTCTGCCCTTTTCGGTTAAAAGAGGGCAAAGAAAGAGGCTGACTTGAAAGAGAGAGAGAGAGAAAGAGAAAGAGAGAGAGAGAGATTGCACTCATTTCTTTAGTGTCTCACTGTGAAGGCCAGGGTTGTCTCTTACCTCTCATTTAGCAGAGGGGGAGTGTCACTCCCTGAACTTGCTCATTAAGTGCTGTTTGGTAAAGCATTACTTTGATCAATGTTTCACGTATACCACAAAATAGGCCGATGAATCAGACACAGCGTGGCAACACACACACACACACACGCACACACAGCTCTTTCCTCAGCGAGCGAGGTGGCAGTGTGTGAGAAGTAATGATCCATCGTCAGGCTAAGAGAGAGGTCTGACAGGTTATTCTGGACACTATCAATCCAAAGAAGTTCAGCAGTGAGGCAGGAAATGAATAACTTGGAGAGTAATGGAGGCTTATGCGCGTCTCTTAAACAGCAATTGGTCTAGAGGGGAACAATTGTCAGAGGACACAAGAACAATGAAACGTTTAATTTCAAGAAGTTTCAACTTTATGTCAATTATTCGGCATTGGAATGATGAAAAATGCAAATAGAGGTAATACATCTTTTTAGAAGATAAGATTTAGACTCATGTTTTTTTGTTTTTTAAATCTGTCAACTTAACAAAAATGTTATAATAAAATACCTAAATACTGCTTTAAAATGGGGCCCTCTATGTTGCACATATATGTATGAGGTCAACTATAGATTTAGTTGGAAATTAGTTACTTCATAAACATTAAGAGACAGATATTAGGGTAGTCTGCATTGTGGAACAAATAAAGTTAAAATCTTTTTTGGGAGATTTTCTATGTTATACTGAAACCCCCCACAAATATAACCAAATACATTCTTTCAGGTTACTTTTATTTGTACCCGTAGGTGGTAGCTTTTATGTGCATTCTCAAAGTTAGAAGTTGCTATTAACTTAACATATATTATTGCATAACCTAACCTAATAATTACATAATCAATTTAAAATATTACCCTAGGAGGACATGGAAAAATGCAATCCACTGTAACCCACCTCCATCTAAGCATTATTAAAAGATAGGGGTGGGAATCAGCACCTATTTCCACAAGCAGCACCCTGCCGGTCTGGTGCAAGGACACACCGCTGCCGTGCTGCTGGACCTACAAAGGACTGCTCGTATGCTCCTGCATCAAAACACTGGCTGTGTACTCGCGCGCTACGAACCTGCAGCACAGCCTTATCTCCTGTGCGAGTGCACGGGCACAGTCTGAATCATAACCTGACCTCTCAAATCCGTTTGTAGTTTTGTAATGTGGGGCGTGCGTGCCACACATACAACTAATCCCTGGATCCTCAGAGAAGGACCATGATTTGTGGGACGGTGTTACCGGGGGGAAAGGTGGCGTCTGCGACCTGTTGGAAATGACAGCTGAAGAAGGCGGACTGAAGCACAGGGATCACAGCAACAGTAAACGTAGCAGATAGCGAAGAAACTCCCTCGCATCACTGTGTAAAGGGTGTGTGTACGGTTGCCATATTTGAGAGCTTTAGCCCCGGTGGCTAGTCATTGCACTGTGATCTGCGGCTCGCGAGCTAACGAGACCCGAGCCGAGGGCATGTGGGTGCATGCGCGTGCGTGTGTGTAGCTATAGATTTGGGTGTGAACGTGCGTATGTGTTCGTGTCGTGCGTTTGTATGCGCGGATGTGTGCCGCTGTGCTTATCTTCGCTGTCGCCCACCTGGCACGATAGCTAGCATGCTAATTTGATAAAGCTAGTTGGCTAATAAGAGAAATTAGCTGACTGAGCGAGGTACCACACCAGCTTTACGACTGCGAGCCAAATGGTCTGCTAATACTGTGTTACAACAGTCACGTGAATCTATCCATAACAGTAAAAGCTAATTTGATATCTGTCACGAATTATCTAATTAGCTAATGTTAACGGTCAAGACAGCAGGCTGGCTAATTTGCTCGGCTATTAGCTTAGCAGCTAGGGGCAGGAGAGCTCGCTAATTGACCTAGTTCATGTTGACATTCCACTGGGCTGAGCTGTGTTTACATTACAAGTTTTTGCCTTGTTACTTTTCGGCTTCACCATTTTACCCACATATTTAAACGTGTTGACAAAGAACCACTCGATATACTACGACTAACGTAATGCCATTCCACCTGACCCTAACCCATGGGCACATGCAAGTTTGGTTCAACAACCTGTATGGTTAGCAGGTTTGTTCTCGAGAAAGGCAGAGGCTTTACTGTGAGTCACAAAACTATTGATGCAAACGTTTCGTATTTAAAAAAACACTATTTACATGAGATACTGAGCATCAGGTTGACTTACTGAATGACTAACATCAGCAACACTTTGAATGCTATTAAAATGTAATGTTAGTTGGTCCCTGATGTCACGTGTTCTTCCAGAATGACCCCTTTTAAAATCTCATGGTTCACTCAAGGCTGTTGAAAACAATGCAAGCATTATATAGCAATGAAAACATGAAGGCTCAGGAACTAAATCAGTCTAAACATACAGTAAGCTGTCTGAAAACAAGTCAAATACAGGCCTGTGTTTCCTTCTCAGGTGCTAAATAATACCCTCAAAACCAAACGGTTGTTATTGGCACTGTGACAGCATAATCCATCCCTCCAGGGTACCCATCTGCACTGAGTTAGCTGTAAAAATAAGGCTGTTGTGATGTTAAAATATATAGGTCTATGATAAAGGCTAACAAACCAACAACAATGTCTCTTTACTCGCCCTCACCCCACAGGGTTGCAGCGATGGAGTCCCTGATGAGTGCGGTGGCACCGCGCTCCCCGGCCCCAGCCAAGAAGCTGTCGGAGGTGGACTTCCGGTCGGGGGCCACCCTGGAGCAGCTGTCAGCCCAGGTGTCTGAGCTGGTACTACTGGAACAGGGAGACTTTGGAGACCAGACCGCCTTAGAGGTTCACACCGCCAAGGACTTTATCTTCAACATGCTGGGTATGTCTGGCAGCAAAGCACACTGGATAATGTGCTCTGTATTGCAGTTTATCCCAAACATTTTCTCGTCTTCAATTCTTAAACTGATATGAATGCAACCATGTATCTTTAGCAATGAGTAATCATTCCCAGGAACACCCTGCTCCACACGGTCTCACCTGGAAGCTGCCCAGTCTGATAAGGTTGGCTGCTGAACAGGACTTATCCTGCAGTCAGCTCAGCACATTTTATGTGACGTGATCAGTCAAATCTATTTCATACTGGAACAAATATAGCTTAGTTATATAGCTAGTTATGCCACATGTGGTTGCAGTAATAGAGGGAATTTCAGGAGACTTCTGCAGTATACTGAAAAGAAAGAAATGTGTGAAACTGTTGTGCTTTATGCAAATCGATGCCACGGGGAAGGTGGAAGCAGAAGGTCTAGCGTCCTGCTTTCTCTGGAGGCGCCCTCACATCCTGCTTTGTATGTCATTCTTAAAGCGATAGTTTGGATTTGATCGGGTCGGACAAGGCAGAAGATATCTTTCCTTTGATTTCTGAGACTCTTAAACTGCAACCTTCTTAGTGGTGGTTTTTGATTTGTTACTTTCTTGTCTGTAGAAATTTGACACATTTGATTCAAGGCGAAAGGGACAAAGCTGCAGGATCTCATTTCAACAGGATGGGACTCGGCTCTCCTTGGCAGACGCATCTCATGGCTCAGGTTGTGAGACAGCACGTGTGACAAACACGATCAACGCGATAGACTCAGTCTGCGGTGAAATGGTACATGTAAATCTTCAATTTAATCCCACAGCAGACACATTATTACATGTTTTTCAAGTCTTACATGAGAGGCTTGTAATTTGTATTTGTGGATGCAATAATTTGAAACTTTCACATTTGGCATTTCTCAAATGCAAATTTGATTAGAAGTGACATCAATGCACATTTTCACTGAGCGCTGCTCTCCTCCCTCTCATCTTCGCGTGCTGACTTTCATGCGGAACTCCTGAGAGATGGGTTTGCTAAGTGAGACACGGAGCCGTCCCAGACGTTTTGTTTCGTGTTGTCAGTTGAAGTGTGAAGTGTGTTTGTTCGCCCAATAGGTGGCACTCTCCCCCCTCCCTGCTGTCATCCTTGTCCTCTCACATCTCATATCAGTCTGTCCGTGTACACTGGAAACAAAAACCCATCTGACCCGCGTCCTGAAAGTAGTATCGCACTGGTTGACAGACAGCTCCTGCACGTGTCCTCAAACCGGCTGCTTCACAGTGTTAAATCTAGTTCAATCCTGTTTTTTTTCTCATTGCATTGTATCACCACATACTGTACAAGCAGGGTTTTTTACTAAACTAGCTGTTTTTCAGTCTTCCCCTTTGCTCAGATTTCCATTTTGATGATTCTGGTGCAAAGCCCTCTGCTTTCCTCTGTCTGCTCCCACGCTCTCCTGGTTGAAGGTCTCTCGGTAACTTTGTATTTCAGCTTTGAGGCTGCTTTCTCCGGCACAATCACCAATGGTTTGCTGGTGTTTTCATACCCTGTGCCTCGCCGCCCGCTGTAACAGCTCTGACTGTGAAGAGAAGACGAAAAAAAAAAAAAAGATTGACGCTTATACGCAGAGGGTTTGTGTTGGATTCTAGGAATATAAAGCTAATGGGATGGTTTTGGTGGGGTTATAGGAGGTACTTATCACCACTATTTTAGCTGCTTAGTCACCGTTCTGACGGGGAACTGAAGCAGTAATATCCATCTGTGCTCTTCAGACTCCATTGACCATAACAATCCTTTTAGCTTGTAGCACGTGGGGGGTTTGCTGGTCCACTCCTGCCGCCATCGGTGAGCTTGTTTGCGTTATTGTGTGACTAAAGTGAATCTGAAGTGCCGACCGCCATCTACTATAGGAGGCTATGGATATGTACCTCATACAGCCCTGCTATCCCTCTAAGTACACAGTGGTAGCTGCATTAGGAGCCGTATGCCTCTCAAGGCCCTGCGGAGGATGAAAGGCAGCACTGAAAAGCAAATATCATCCCTTTGATGGAGGGGCCTTGTTGTAGCATGCCGGGCCTGCTGGAGGAGGCTCGTCGTACAGGAGCCGCATAGGTATGTGTGCATGGATGCTGAACACCAGTGGCTGGGGCTGTTTTTGCCAGTTTTTTTTTAAATAAAGTTTGAGCTGCAGAGGGATCCCCGCTGTGCTTTGCACTCCGTCAGGGGAAAGGAAAGAGAAACGGGATTAAACTTGCGCACTCACAAGTACACCCAGTGAATTCCTTCACAGTCTGACAGATCCAAGAAGAGGCTGTTATTTACCCTGCGTTTGAGTAAACACTGCGGTTTGCCTCCAGGCAAGCGTGGTGGGGGCTACTGTATACATTTTTTAGGAAAAACAAAAGTCTGATGAAGGCAGAAATGAACCCCCGGTGAAGCAGAAGATCTGTTGCTGGGCATACATGCCCCGAGCCCGACTTTTTTCAGATCTTAAAGTTTGTAAGCCAGCTTGAGAGAGTTCAGGTCAGAGTTCATCTCCCCTCTGATGCCAATGGATACTTTTGATCTTGGCACAGATTTTGACATTTCTATCCGTGAGACAATAAAATGAACCTGTTGTTTGTTGAGATTTTGAATAATTTAGTCATTGTTAAAGTCTTCCTGTCTATGCGGCGCACCAGATCTTCACTCTGTCCGACAGTGAGCCCCACAGAAAGGCAAGACGCTGAGTCTTGCCTTTCTGTGGGGCTTCTTACATCAGCCCTCTTTGTTTTCCGCTATTCTTGACACTCAAGCCACTTAGCTCGGTGCACATTTGGGCTTGAACAGTGATAAGTGTTGTTTAAGACAGAGAAGGCTGATCAGCACCTGAGTTGGTTTCTTTTGAAGTCGGGAGAGGCACCAGTTAAAAGTTCCCCTTTGAGCTGTGATGAACAAAACGAAGCCCGTCACATGAATCAGTCCTGCGACAATCTCAACATTTCTCTTTCTGTCGGGGCTCAACAAGACTTTGCAGTTGTTCCAAAACACAGATACATTTTCCAAACTTTCCCTATTGTTTCACTTTGAATGGCAAGCTCACCGAAAACCCTTACAGTCCTGTTAACCTCTTAGTTATTTAAATATCCCCTCCAGACATGTTTAACATGTATGTAAATGACTCTGTTTTTAATAATAATGTCTATCTGATATATTCTTTGCACATGCATCATTCTGTGCAGTGAAGCTCAAACGTTCTTCTGTAGGAACAAGAAAAAAAACAAACATTTTTAAGGGAACTTTAAGATGTATTAGCCACTAACCTGTGCCACACACACCAGTCGGCCCCAATGGAGCTTTCTCTGTGAACTGTAGTCTTTAATATCAGGTGCTTTATCAGACACTTAATGTTTCCTCCCAAACTTTCTAAGCCCTCTAAGGCCGCACAAACATTCATGAGAAGTGATGCATATTTTATCTTGGTTAAATTTTAACCAGCAGACTGGCTATATATTCTTTATTCCCTTTGGGAAAGCAGCTCACTAAGCCAGGCTAGCTGCAGCCCTTTAACACTGCTGGACCCCCCCCCGATGCTCAGAGTTCAGTTGTAGTTTTTCTTTATCCTGGGATCTGGGGCCCGCATGGCTGCTTTGGCTCACTCATCCTCCGCTGATGCCATTTTGGATTCAAAAGTCTTCATCTGGCAGCCGGGACGGATCCATGGCACTGCAACAGTACATGACTGATATCTTTCTGTTTCACTTTTCATCAGAGCGGACGCACCAGTGCCAGGCACAGAGATGAGATGCGTCTTTCCTGCCTTAAACGATGGCCATTGTTCCTCACTGACTCACCTTTCTTGGCATTCCATCTTAATTGTTGGACAGCTGGCGCATCGGTGGAAAATTAATGCGAGCACGGTTGAGTTGATGTTAATTTACATTCAGCTCACAACCTCTATTACATGCGGCTCTGTAACAAATCAACCAACAAGTGTCTGTCATGTAAACACAGGAGAGCGTCCTGTGAATGAGCATGGCCACATCACATCATCCATTAAGCTTCTTTCACGGCGTCTAATTAAATGTGACTTACAGAATTCGGCATGTTCAGGAAGCGGTGTTTTGACAACGCACGACATATCGTATTGTGCCGCTCGTTTTAATAACCAGGCTGATGTGATTTTTGCTCTTTCCTAATCGCACTCCTGAGGCAAAGAGGGAGCTGCTGGTCTGTAGCTGTCGACTGATAACAGTATCTTATGCTGAGTTGCTGGTGGGAAAAAAAAGAAGTTAGAATGCTTATGTTTGCCACACATCCTCGGCACTTTAAGTATCCCATTAAAAGATGAATTGATCATCTGTCTTTCCCCTCCTTACAGTTTTACTTCCACGCTTGTTGTGGAATTTTCTACACACAAGCTAATTAAGACATAACACTTGGCAATAAGCCTTCCACTAATATGTCAAAATGAAATCAAAACCTCACAATTCCATTTTCAAAATGGCAGTTTTTGCATCAAAATGAAACACGCATGCACCATTTGAATTAGTATTTCAAAGCAGCAGCAACACAGTGATGTGCTTTCTATACAACCCTGCTGTCTTTAGTACTTCTAGTAAACCTTGTTAATGTACTCATACAGGCCTCTGTATGAAGATGTATTTACAGATTATTACAGTACAGTAATTAATACAATATGAAACAGAAAAGAATACCTAAAAATACAGGTAAACGAAAAAATAGTTTGGTAAGGGATGGTGGATGGTTTTGATCTCGCCCACTGTTCGGGTTAAGGTTGTGCATGACTTCTCAAGTGACTAGGCCGCCCCCGCAGCACGGAGATGTAAAAGTAAACCTGCAGTGACACTTTCTTCTTTCCGTGGTAATTGCCTGTCATTTAGGGGACACAGTACAGCTGGCATCAGAGCAGCAGTGAGGAGCTGTGAGACCCTGACAGCTTCCTACATCCTCTCTCCCTGCAGGTGGTTTAGACACGCATTGTCTGTCTCTGAGCCCTGTTTGTAGTATTAAACGCACTCACACACATACACACACCTGGCTCAGTGGT